AGGGGAGGGGGGGGGGAGAGAGAGAGAGAGAAACATCGATCAGTTGCTTCTTATATGCACCCCTACTGGGGTTGAACCTGCAACCTAACCTAGGTATGTACCCTGATCAGGAATCAAACCTGCATGCAGCCTTTTTGGTGCATAGGATAATGTTCCAACCTAGCCACCTCGCCAGGTCTACACATAAGAAATTTTTAAAATACAGATAAAAAGGGAAATAAGACTTATTCATATCTCTACCCAGAAATAATCACTGTTAACATTTTGAAATATATCTTGCTAGTATTTTTTTAGTACATATTTTTTAGTTGGTTAAAATGGGATCATATAGAGGGATGGATATATGTATAGATGTATGATATATCAAGTATAATAAAATGTTGATAATAACTCATTGTAAAATTCAACATTTCAGGATGCTTGAACTTTTTCATAATAAAACTTGTGCAGTTTTATTTTTAAAATTTGCACAATAAACTCCATGTAGTTCTCCAGATGTGCCCTCTTTCTGGCCTTTTCTAGATTTCACACATGATAAACCCTCTGCTTTGAATCCTTGCCCACAGTAGTTATGATGCAAACAAATTGAATATTTCTGCCATGTTAGACAATTTTTACTACAAAGCGTTCAGGAGATTTAAATGTTGAAAGGGAACCTCCTGGTTTCCAAGGAGAGCTGGCAAATAACTTTACTGGAAAGGAATTTTAAAACCATGATTTTTTTTTTTAGCGGTTATTGATATTCTGTTTTATAACTATACCATAGCCATATTGTTAGACATATAAATTGTTCTGAGTAAACAGCTTTGTATATGGTTCTTATGATAGAGGATTACTCCTAGATGGGAGCACAAGCCTCTGGGTTTTGCTGCAGATTGCTCAGTTGTACTCTAGAAAGATGATCCCATTTTAGCTTATCACCAGCAATGTATTTAGAGCTCAATTTTTTAAAACTGTTCTTAGTTTTTTAAGTGCTTCATTATTATTTGGTAAGGAAAACTATCTTTTTAAGCATTCATTTTATGTAGAACAGTAATTCTTAGTACAAGGAGTGTGGTCCCTATGGGTCCATGGAAACCCTTCAAGACACCCATGAATCTCCTTGAAAGTAAATGTACAATGTGGTATTTTTGTGTATTTTTCTAGAGAAATTCCTAAGTCTCTTGAAGGGTTGCAAGCCTCAGAAAAGGTTAAGCAACAGCTGATGTAGAGATTCCCAGACCCTATTGCCCAATAGAAATCACCTGTGTGTACATGCCCAAGTGACCTAAGCATTTGGCTTGAAAAGTACTAAGCTTTATCGAACTCTTTTTTTGAAAAAGTCCACCAACCATGTTATGTTTAAAGGTTATATTTTAAATCCTAGACCTTAGTCAAATCATCCCCTTGGTGTAGCTATTAAAATGCATACTTCCCTGTTTTGGGGTGGGCCACCTGACCAAACTTCAGCACATATGAGGAGGATGCACAAAGGGCTAGACTAAAAAAAGCCCATCTTGGCTTCTGCAGGACTGTCCTTTAGAGAGTTGAGTATATCTGACATTTGTGGTCTCCTTGGCCTGTAGGCTCACGTGATGGTTCTATGGGACTTTGGGAGGTGACAGACGATGTGTTGACCAGAAGTGATGCAAGGCACAATGTGTCACAGGTCCCTGTGTATGCTCACATCACTCACAAGGCCTTAAAGGACATCCCCAAGGAAGACACAAACCCTGACAACTGCAAGGTCCGTGCTCTGGCCTTCAACAACAAGAACAAGGTATGAGCTTGCCAAAGGTTGCCTGAAATCTATTACTCTTGCTTAGGCTGCTTGGCTTATGTCTTGGAAGATGCACTTTCCTTCTCCTTCCCTAAGTCAGTGCTTGCTGCATAGCTGGGTTCTGAGCCCACAGAGCACCTCTTGAAGAATAAGAGATGCTGATGAGAAATTATAACAGATTATGAATCCCACCCTTTGTATTGAGTTCTGTATTTCTCTGTATGGTTCATATTTGTGGGTCCATCATAGTTTCCCCAGGGTCTCTCTGATATGACTCTTATTTGCATATGCCTTTGCAGGGGTTCTGTTTTGGATGTGATTTTCATATATGCCTCTGAAAGCAATCACTTTTCTTCTCTTTGGTATTATTTTCATTCTTCACTTCTCAACACTGCCACCTAATCATTGCATTAGATCTCCTGAAACTGGGGTATTAAGTAGTGTTGGGATGGAGACCCAGAGCCAGAAGAGGAGAAAGGCTTCTCCCAAAATCTGAATCAGGCCACAGTTTGAAGAGTAGTTCCCTTAACCGTCTATCTCCCTTCCATGTTTGTGGCTTACGTGTAGACTTATCTCTCCTAGCTTAGACCTTCCACTTATAGAAGCTCTCACACTGAGACTTAGAAAATTTCTTTCATGTGTGTGTTCTGGTCTGTCCAACAGAATATCATGGCAATGGTTGCATAGTAACGGCTTTTTGCACGATGTGTATCTATGTTATTGTTAGAAAATGTAATTGCTTCTTGAGAGAATTCAAGCAGCAGCATCAATTTAATAAGCTTTCCAGCTACATTCCATAGGGCTGATAATGAGGTGATACTCCCTGGCACCCCAGCTGGAATCATCATAGGATAGGAATGAAGAATGAGAGGACCCAAACTTCAAGGTCTTCCCCTGCTTATTGTTGTATATTACGTGCTACAGATTGGAATATAACTTGTTTTTCATTGTACTTGTAGGAATTGGGAGCAGTATCTCTGGATGGCTACTTTCATCTCTGGAAGGCTGAAAATACACTGTCTAAGGTGTGATGAACATGACTTAGTAATTTTACCAAAAAATTACCTTATGGTTAAAATACTTTAATTCTCCCTGAGCCTTTTCCTTCTTGTCTAAAACATCAGTGCTCCAACCTAGCTGGTTTGGTCAATGGTTAGAGCATTGGCCCAAGGACTGAAGGGCCCTGGGTTCGATTCTGGCCAAGGGCACATACCTTGGTTACAGGCTCAATCTCCTGCTCTGGTTGGGGCTCGAGCAGGAGGCAACCAATTGATGTGTCTCTCTCACATCAATGTTTCTCTCTCTCCCTTCCACTCTCTAAAGAGCAGTGGAAAAAATACCCTTGGGTGAGGAATGGAAAAAAAGAATAAAACGTCAGTGTTCCAAGGGTCTGGACATGTGGTTCCATGGTGCATGAAATCCTGAGTCTGGCATGCCTCTCTTAAAGGTCTTTAAAAGAGATTAGAGGGGGCAATTCTTTCATATTGTAAAGGCTTGCTGAGAGACTCCTTTAACAAGCAGTCCCCTAATCCACAACATATTTAAGCATTTGCTTATGGATTGTTGACTCTGCATGTTGTGAGGGCAGGAAGACCTAAATGTTAGGAACCACTGGTAACTGAAGATTAATTAAACTAAGATTAATCATCTCTGAAATAATCATATAAGGTAATGAGAACATGGATTTAATTTATAATATTTACAAGCAGCTCTTGCATAAAGTTAAGCCTACCTGTGGATCATTTGCCCTCTTCTCATCCCAGAGACCTTTGCTACTTGTTATGTCTGTGATAAACTCTTTCTCAAGAGGAATCAGCGCCTCAGGAATTACTGATTCCTTTATGTCTTAGTGGTTTTTTAACTCCATTTGCTTGGTGCCTTACATGCAATAGGCACCCACTGAGAACTGACTGAATGACAAGGATCCAGGGTTAAGCCTGATTGGGGATACCTGGGTTGAACCAGTGCCATGAGTATGCTTTTTGTAGTGTACAACCTCCATAAAATTGGGGAGTTAGACTGGAGGTAGCCAGAATTCAGTCCCTTTGTCTGAAGAGCAGTGAGAAAGGTGGTGGCTCTTCCTGGCAGAGAGAAGAGAGTGGGACCTTGGTTTTAGTGCCCTGGGGTTATCCCAGTAAACAACCTGTATATAGGTCTTGGCCTTTCTCTCTGCTTCTGATTATTTAATTACAGCTTGTGCTTTTCCCCTAACCAATCCTGTTCAGTACCTAGATCTTATTATTATAGTCAACCCTCTCTCTTACATACCTAGTTGTGGAGCAGAGTATTATTTCCTTATTTGGGGCTTGTCCTTTTGTCTTTGACTTTGTGTCCTTGTGTATGAAGGAAAGCCCAAAGGTGGGCATCTAAGAACAATGCCCTGCCTTATACTCTCTGGTAATGCCATGGGTGCATCTCTTTTCTCTGTGTTTTCAGCTCCTCTCCACCAAACTCCCATATTGCCGTGAGAATGTGTGTCTGGCTTATGGTAATGAATGGTCAGTATATGCAGTGGGCTCCCAAGCTCATGTCTCCTTCTTGGATCCACGGCAGCCTTCATACAACATCAAGTCTGTTTGCTCCAGGGAGCGAGGCAGTGGTAAGAATCTTTATGTTTCGGGTTTGTTTTCAATTATAGTTAAGATGCTCACATTTCAGAACAGAGAATAACGTGTATAAGGAGAGTAGTAAGGGAAAGAATAAATAGGCTTTGCTGGAATGATACCTGCAATGAACAGTTTTAAGAGATTTTGGTTACTATAGGTTTTATACCTAATAAGGAAATACTGATTCCACAAATGTTATCCAGCAGCTTTTATGTGCCAAGAGACATCTTCATATCCCATGCACTTATTTGATCCACAGATGCATTTTGCCTATGACCCAGAGAGGTTAGGCGACTTGTTTTAAATTCATACTGTGGGAGACAGTGCTTTGTTGGGTGCTTTAATTCTAGACTCTTTGCCACTTCAGTAGTGCTTTTAGGTTAAATACAAGGAAATATCTATTAATGTAATGATTTATAAATTTGCAGATCACCCTCAGTTTCAGTATAGGTTGGAAGCATATAATGGAGAAGAGCTTAGAATTATGAACAATGACTCCAGATAGTCTAGAGGGGTCAAGGAGGTTCAGAGCGCACTTGTGGTCTCAGGCCCAAAGCATCTTGGGCTTCATCAGGTGTCTGTCCCTTCTCTGAGTCTTATGGGAAGTCTCCTGTTAGGTATATGGATGGCAATACGGCATCAGTGTTCTCTGGCTTTTTCATGAGCTATGTCTGCCATGGAAAAGGCATTATCCGGTATTTGGGGTACCATGTGAACTCGGTGTCAGAGAAATTCAGGCTAGCAGACTTAAAGTGCATGCTCCCCTTGCTCATTGCCCTTTACTTTTCTCTCTCAGGGATCCGGTCAGTGAGCTTCTATGAGCACATCATCACTGTGGGCACAGGGCAGGGCTCCCTGCTGTTCTATGACATCCGAGCTCAGAGATTCCTAGAAGAGAGGCTCTCAGCTTGTTATGGGTCCAAGCCCAGACTAGCAGGGGAGAATCTGAAACTAACCACTGGCAAAGGCTGGCTGGTGAGTAAGCCCCTGTCCGACATGCTTACTGGAGAGTAACAGAAAAATTGTCTTTGCTTTACCTACCCATGCCCACTCCCACTGACACACCACTACCCACATACTTTTTCACTAGTAAGACACACTCCTTGGACCAGAGGCACTTTCACTTGATATTGCTTTTGTGTCTGCATATCTGTGGGAAAAGGCCCAGTAAGACAGACTAGTTGACCTAGGGTTTTCCCCTAGGTTACAATAGAACAGGAAGGAGAAGGAACCTCCGGCTGAGGCTGCCAGTGAATTATTAAAAAGTTTGGTTCCAGCTGTCTTGAGAAGACCTACAGTTTGTATAGTAATTCTTTAGCCTGCTCATTCATTTCCTTCCTACTGTTCAGTTGGAAAAATGAAGCCCCTATTTACATAAGCATCAATCTCCTGATATCGGGTTACAGGACCCTCTGTTCCTAAAGAGACCAGAAAGCATTCCTGTCCCTCCCTTCCCCGATTCCTGCCCCATGGCCTAAAGGTGCTAACAGAGTCTCTTTCTCTTCCCATAGAATCATGATGAAACCTGGAGGAATTACTTTTCAGACATTGATTTCTTCCCCAATGCTGTTTACACCCACTGCTACGACTCATCTGGAACAAAACTCTTTGTGGCAGGGGGTCCTCTCCCTTCAGGGCTCCATGGAAACTATGCTGGGCTCTGGAGTTAATGACAACTAATTCTCTCCCAAAATGCAGAGATTTACACTAACTTCCATCCTCTGTTTCCTTGTTTCTTCTTTTGTTTTTTTCCAATTGTGTGAGGCCCTCATATTTTAGTGGGAACACCAGAGTTTGCCTATGGTTTAGGTTCTTGTCAGAAAGAAGCTCTATATAGAAATCTGAAGGTTTTGTTTGTTTTTTCCCTTTTTGGTAATCAGAATTTCACTTTACTATGTTTTTTCTTTCTGGCTTCTTAACCAAACATTTTTAGTCCCTATTTGTATTTTTTTTTTTTTCAAGTGACACACACTTTTCCCTCTCTGATTTCTTTAGGCTGACTTAGTCGTTCTTACCCTTCACTGTTGAGAGGTAGGGCTCCTTTACAATTATGTGGTTGCTGTCAGACTTTCTGTGAAAGTTTGGGGGCTGTGTGTGCCTGTGTGTGTGTGTGAACTTGTGTACCTGAAAGTACTGTGTGTTACTGAAAGTACCTGGAGTGAGGATTACTTGCAATTAAAATATTTATAAAAGAAACAACTTTGTTCACAGAGTCCAGCTTTGGGACTAATCTTTATCTTGTTTTTTAAAGTCTAATAACACTGATTATAGAAAGTAAAAACAGAAAGAAAAATCAGGAAACCTTTTGAGTTAGATTGTCGACTTCCTGGGGACTCTTGTGCCAGGACTCCAAAGTGATCCATCCCTTACCTGCCTTCCCATCTGTGTGTCCCCCCAGGTGAGAACACTTATGTTTATGTGTCACTTCTACTTCAACTTCCTGTCTCCTTAGCCAGTGTGGCCACTCCCCTAAAACATCAGTCTCCATCCAAATGCAGCTCTAGAGGCTGCAGAAGGCTTGGTAGAACAAGGTAAAGAGAATCCTCATCCTAACCTCCTTCACCCTCCCCTCAGAGAAGACCTGATCTGCTATCTCAGGGGCCTGGAGCTGGGGGCCTCAAGTCAGCTAAAATTAGCATAGTCAGTCCCCTTGGCTTTGAGGAGAAACTTCTCCTTTGCCTTTCTTCTAGTCTTCCCAATGGGTTTTACTTTTGTTTTCCAAACTGGGTTCAGTCTCCAGGAGGGTAGGGACTAATAGGGATTTTATCTGTGTGTAGAGGGCTTCATGTGTGAAATGTCTGTTTTCTTAATACAGCGGGGCTGGGGTTGAAGCCACCTCTCCCACTCTGTTGGCTCAGCACTAAGGTGGTGATGGCGTGGCCTACAGCCACCAGCGTTGTGCATGTTAAAAACTTTGATGTGATTAGTATTTTGTTCCTCCCTTGAACTGTCTAGTCTGAGGTTTTTAAACTTGCAGGCAACTGACTGATCGTGATGTCCAGTTATTCCTTGCTTTTTATGCATCATGTTGCAGATAACAGCTATTTCTACCCACAAATTCCTCCTCCATTTGAAGTACATACTCTGCTTCTGTCAACAGCCCATTCTGGGGAAAGGAAAAGTCATAATTATTCCTGCACTCCAGGTTCTAAGTTGTTCTCCTAGTCACCCCTTTCTGTTCCGGGTGTAAGTAGGGAGATTGAAAAAGAGTGTCTTCTTGATGATGGGAGCTGGTGGGAGGGAAATCAGTAAGTCACCGTATCTTGGCAGTACAATGCATACACCACAGGTTCTAGAATTCTCATCTTCTAACTTAGAGAAATAGGTGCTATAAACAGGGAATTAAGCAAAATGCTGGATGCTGTAGGTCTTTTAATTGTCTTAATTTTTTTCTATTAAACTATAGGCTTTAGATTTCTTAGTTCTCACAAGAGCTTTTAAACCAACTTGTATATTTAAAAAAAAAAAATCTTAAGTTCTTAAATAGGATGTTTTGTACTGTTGCCAGACCCTCTTCTGTGATGGGTAATGCGTTTGATTGAGTTTTTGTTTTAAAAAATGTAGCACTTGACTTTTTGCCAAGTAAAAAAATAAATATTATTCCAGTGCAAAGTGGTTTGAATGAGTATGTATAGCCAAGGGGCAGCAGGAAAAAGGCTCTGAATTACTGGTTGAGGTGCTAGGATTGCTTAGAGCAGAAGGGAAACACGAGTGTTCCCTTAAGTTTAAAGGCAGGTCAAGTGCAAACACACAAACACTAAGACCTGCTTGCTCTGTCTTCACCTCTGGCCCATGATCAGTTACTCTGGGATCCAGTTGAGGGTGGATATGCCCGCTGGGAGTACTTTGGTGATTGAAAAAAATATATAGGCTGGCCCTGGCTGGGTAGATCAGTTGGTTAGAGCATCATCCCTATACGCTAAGGTTGTGGGTTCCATCCCTGGTCTGGGCACATACAAGAATGGACCAATGAATGCATAAACAAGTGGAACAACAAGTCAGTGTTTCTCTCTGCTCTCTCGAAAATCAGTTAAAAATTTTTTTTTGAGCCTTAACTGGTTTGGCTCAGTGATTGGAGCGTCAGCCTGCGGACTGAAGGGTCCCAGATTCGATTCCGGCCAAGGGCACGTACTTCGGTTGCAGGCATCATGGTTGGGGGACATGCAACCAATCGCGATGTGACTCTTTCACGTGGATCTTTTTCTCTCCTCCTTCCACTCTTTCTGAAAAGCAAAGGAAAAAATATCCTCTAGTGAGGATTAAAAAAAAAAAAAGCCCGGCCAGGCATGGCTCAGCGGTTGAGCATCAACCTAGGATCCAGGAGATTGCAGTTCGATTCCTGGTCAGGGCACATGCCTGGGTTGTGGGCTTGATCCCCAGTCAGGGGCATGCAGGAGGTAGCCGATCAATGATGACGCTCTCATCATTGATGTTTCTATCTCTCTCTCCCTCTCCCTTCCTCTCTCTAAAATCAATAAAGATACATTAAAAAAAGGATAATAAAATAATAAATTTTTTGACAAAAATAATACAGGCTGACAAGGAGGGTGTGTGCTAGCTTTTGTTCCTAATTACTATGGATTTGAGCAAGCTGACCAGCTCCTCTTAGATAAACCAGGGTTGGTGATAGGCCCTATTTCGGTGGAAGATGTCCTGAGAATGACTGTGAAAGTGGGTGCACAGTACTTTGGGAATAGGACATTTTTTTGTGGTTGGAACCATAGCTGCCCTTTGTAAGAGGACAGTGACCATTGTGAATGTTGCTCTTCCCAGAGCCTGTTTAGGGCTGTAGCAAGGAAAAGGGCAGACTGCTAAATCATACCACCCTTGTCACAGCCATCTCTGGAAGACCCATCAGGGCTAGGCCACCACAGAGCAAGCAAGGCAAGGCAGTACCTATTTCTCTCACGTGGCACTTGTTCCTTTCCAGGACAAACTGGATGCAGCTGCCCTTTGCACCTGCCTTTAAGAGACTGATTCCAAACATGACTCACACAGGCACCTACTTATATGATTAAAGCCTGCAAAACAGGAAGGGGGAGGTGAATGAATTGAAGCAATTGAGAGGGCTTCCTAGAGAAGAGTCATGTTTGAAAGGGATTGGAATTATTAGCCTTTGCCAAAATGAGGATTTTTAGAATTCCCAATCCATGAAACAGTCATTGGTGTTTGCAAAATATTCCATGGTCAAATTATTTTTGGGAAATACAGATTAAAACAGACATGCTTCTTCACAGCCTCAGGTTTTTGGTTACTATGGGATGCATGTTCATGGAACATGCTCAGAAAAAGGTGATGGTATGTGGGGTGGGCTTGGCCTGGGCCTCTGGCCTCCATGGAATCTTGGCCCTGCTCCCATTTTCCAGCAAGACTTTAGAGCAAAGGATGTATCACAGAAGGGCTTTGTGGATTTTATGGGGCCCCTCCCTTTCCTGCCAGCAGTCCCTACTCCCAGGCCATGAAAGAACTTCCTTGTTCTCCCTCAGGCCACATGCCTCATTACAAATAGGCTACTGGCTCCTCTGGTCATCCTTTGGGTTCTTTTGCAGAGGCTCTTGAACCTCTTTTTGCTCCAGATTCCCTGCTTCTACCACTCCGACAGTAGATTAGTATTGATCTGGCCCTCAGTGTTTCTAATAAAGCTGAAGACTCAATCCAGGCCTCTCTGATCCAGGTGCCACCCAGATGGTTCCTAAAGCAGGTACCCAGAAACAGCAAGTCAGGGTGTCGAGAGCCTTTGCTTAGCATTAGGGGTTAATTTTGTAAGAGCCTAGGACCCAAGTGTTTTTTGTTTTTGGGAAACAACAATTTGGGGCAGCGGGGGAAGGTTGGAGACGAGGGAGAGGAAAGATCACTGTGTTACTTGCTTTTAGACATGTTTCATGCTAGTGTGCTGAGTTGGCTGGAAGCTTTGGGAGGGTAGAAACATGGGCTTCTAATTCTGGAACTGCTGTGAAGACAAAAGAAAGTTTGGATTTCTAAAGTTGGTTCTTCTGCCCTCACTTCATTCATCTCCTCCAAAGAATAATCCAGAGAAACAAATGTGAGAAATTTATTTCTACACTAGCACTAGAGAGAGAGAGGTATAAACTGAACTCATGATGGGGTTGTAAGCTCTTATGATTCAGCTCTCCAAAGCAGAGATGTGAGCTGTCCTCTCACATTCCCTCTCACATTCAAACACTCCTCTTGATAAGTGTATAATTGCCAAAGTCAGAATTTCGAAAGGATACTACTACTCATTAACTGAGCAGAGTCACATGTTTACTGCATTTCCTGTTAAGCAGTATTTGGAGCTGTAATTAACATCCCCAGTGCTATGGACAGGAAGAAAACAAATGATAAACTCCTACCTTAAAGAAAATGAACTTTTTTTAAAAAAAGAAAAGAAACTTTTCTCACTCATAGCTACTTTTTTCTTAGCTGGTGGCAGCCTGGACAGAGAAGGAGGCTTCTTTGTTCTCCAGGGCCACGGTCATTTGCAGATTGCAGAAAGCACTGCAGTGGGTATCATGGCCTGAGGTCTGGTGGTTTGGGCCCTGCAGTGTGTTGCTTATTGCTTACTTGAGAAACATCCCTCATCTTCACCACTACCACCCCCTCTGCCCTTCTAAACAAAATTACCATCCCAACCACTTCACTTAAGGTTTCACCATTAGATCTTTTTT